TCTCTCTCTCTCTCTCTCTCAGTTCTTTTTGTCTCATTACCTTCTACAGTTGTTGTTTATTTATATTATTAATAATAAAAATATTTTTATTACTATTATTAACATAAGTTATTGGCATCATTTTACTTCTCATTTTCCGTAAATTCTTAAATGTTTATATTCCTTTGCGCTCTATCTGAGCTAATAGATCTCTCTATCTGTAAACTTATCTGTCTGTATCTATCTACCTGTCCATCTATCTATCCATTTATCTCTCTCGCTCGGTCGCTCCATCCATCCATCCTCCACAACCCCTTCTTAATTTGTTTGTTTGTTTTTTTATAGATAGCGCGAAATTAGAGAAACACGGAAGAAAGGGCGACATGAAACTTAACTGGATGTTTTTTTCTCGTTCCAGGGTTGCGGCCGCCCGTGTACCCCTTCGCCGCCTCAGGCCAGTATCCCTACCCTCTCGGTGCAGACTTCACGGCACAGATGGCCTCAGCATGGTAAGTCTTTGGGCCTTCCTGTTCGTCCTTGCTGTAGGACATCCCTCGATCCTCTGTAGATTGAACTCACATTCCTACTTTTTATATAACTTTTTTTTTTTAAGTATGATTGTCTTTCCTTATTTTTTTTCCTTGTAGATCATCAAAAGATAGAAAAAAAAGAAATAGTCTTGACATGTAGAATTCCCTCCCTCACATCCTCCCATCCCTCCCCCCCCTCCCCCCTCCAGTCTTTGCTCTAGAAGTCCTTCCCCGAAGTTCTTGAAGGAACTGTGCCTCGCCTTCATCCCCTTGACACCGTTATTGGCGTTCCGTTTCCTTTGCCACTTCTTCGTGAACGCAAAAGCTTTTTTGGGAGTCATTGATCTGTATCGTTAGTTGGGTTGTTAGCGTACGGTGGGCATATATATAAAAAAATATATATATAAGTTTCCTTGTGTCCAAAAAGGCGAAGAAGCTGCGCCTTTGTTGACGTTGAATTGGCTCATGTTTACACTCTGGCCAACTGTAATTATTGCTTGCTTTCCCCTCGTTAGTCGGTCAGTTCGCACAGTGTCCCCTCTGCAATGCCAAGAGTGCCATGACGATGTGCCACGCAGTTGCTTGACTCTTGGTGTTTCCAATGCCAACGAGGTGACGCACAGACATTGGATATTTTAGGTTTCAACAATCGTCACCAGTCTGGACAGTTCCCAATATCCTGATTCTGTCGATAACTATTTATCGACGCTTGCGCTTATATATATATATATATATATATATATATATATATATATATATATATATATATATATATATATATATATATATATATATATATATATTTGTATACGCACAGATGTGTGTGTATATACGGATGATACTGTTTATATGAAAGTCTCTCAGCTCCCTCTTCCTCCTCTCCTTTTCTTTTTTCCAACGCCTCACATCCCTCGTAAACGACAATATATTTCCATGAACCTTTTCCTTAACTGTATTCTGCCTGTATGTTTCCCTTGCTGTGACAAAGGCTGCATCATGTAGTGAAGTAGTAAGAAAGCATGTAGCTGTATTGAAGGTACCTAGCATGACTCAGGAACCACAGGTAGAGGGGAAGGGGAGAGGAGAGGAGAGGAGAGGAGAAGAGAGGAGAGGAGAGGAGAGGAGAGGAGAGGAGAGGAGAGGAGTGAAGAAAAGAGAAGAGAAAAGAAGAGAGGAAGAAAGAAAGAAGTAGAAGGGTGCCAAGTTCAAGAGAATGACAAACAAATGCGATCAAATAATAAACAACAATAATAATAATAACAATAACGATAATAAAATAAAAGGGACACTGTACTTGTGGGCCGAGTATCATGTGTGGGGATCATTACTTACTAGTGGTGAATACAATGGGCTTTTCTGCCACGCCCACGAGACCCTCTCATCCTCCTCCGCTGTGGGTTACGTGGCTGCCATACGTATGTGCGCAGGGAGACTGGCCGGGGGGGAGGGGGGAGTGATAGATGGGATGGTAAGGAGTGGGGAGGGAGTGGAAGTGTTAGGAGAAAAGAGAAGTTAAAAGAAGGAGGGAAGGAGGGGTGGGGAGGGAGAGAGGAAGGGTGGAAGGGGAGGTAGAGAGGAAGGAGGAAGGGAGGAAGGGGAGGGAGAGAGGAAGGGAGGAAGGCTAGGGGATAGGGAGGGAGAGAGGAAGAGGAAGGAGAAAGGGATGGGGAGGAGGGTGAGAGGGAAAGTGGAAGAGGGAGAAAGGAAGGAGTGAAGGAAAGAAAGAAAGGATAAAGGAAGGAAATGAAGAAGGAATGGAACAAGGAAAGGAGGGAGGGAGGGATAGAGAGAGAGAGAAAGAAAGAAAGAAAAATGGGGGAGGGAGAGAGGAAGGGGAGGGAGAGAGGAAGGAGAGGGAGAGGGGAAGGAGAGGGAGAGAGGAAGGGGAAGGAGAAAGGGATGGGGAGGAGAGTGAGAGGGAAAGTAGAAGAGGGAGGAAGGAAGGAGTGAAGGAAAGAAAGAAAGGAAAAAGGAAGGAAATGAAGAAGGAATGGAACAAGGAAGGAAGGGAGGGAGGGATAGAGAGAGAAAGAAAGAAAGAAAGAAAGAAAGAAAAAATAAGAAAGAAAGAAAGAAAAAAAAGAGAGAGAGAATAAAGGAGGAAGAGGAATTATGGAAAGGTTTTTGAGTTCGTAGAAAATTGGAAAGAACCAGGGAAGTGATATATTTGTGTTCTGACTTGATATGCAAAAATAATGAATTGTTCGACACCAACCTGATGGATTTATTCACCGTATCCAACCGTTAGCAGAAGAGTTATCGACGCCTGCCATTTATCTCGATACGCCCTTTAAATAAAACAAATCCTTTACGCCATATAAAGTCATAGAAATTCTCAGTACTTGATTTTTTTTTTTTAAGATACATTCGTTCCAGTCGCCATGATTTCACATATATATATTTGCGTACATAAACCAAGAAAGAGATATTTATTTTCGTTACGGATTGTATGTTGTTGTTACTTTCAAATTAGAAAGTATTGCTAGTTGCATTCAGTCCATCCCATTTATCAGACATTATGTTCTTTTAATCTATAATTCCAAGGAAATAAAGGCACTCACAAGTTCAAATTTAAAATCCTTTATTCTGTTAGTGACAGTCGTAATACTTTTATGTAAATGTCAATTCAACAACACAGTGATATGGGCTAAGCATAGATAATATCATCATAGATTTTGATGAGCGAAGTTTTGATGTAATATAAAGTCGAAGCCTCGTTTTTGGCTTTATATGTAAGTTCGTGACGTCACCGACAATTTAAAGAGATGGTCAGGATCTGGAGGCTGCCCCCCCTTCGTAAACTCTGCTCAGTGGCACTTGTCGCCTTCCTGTTCCGTCTGCCATCGCCTCTTCTGCTTTCTCGCTTCCTCGTGGCTTAGGCTGTTGAGGTAAAGGGGAAGGGAGAAGTGGTGGTAACTTTGGGAAGGAGGTGAAGAAAGGGGGAGATAGGGTAAATAAAATTAATTGAGGGTATGGGCGAGAGAAGGGAGGAGAAGGAAAAGAAATCAAAGGCACTATTTTTTTTTTTGATACATTGACAACCAAAACCGTTCATATTCCATGCCGCGTCACATGTGAGCCCGTCATGATCCAGACCCCCCCTCCCCCATGATCACGTCTCGCCCTCATCACCCTCACCGTTCTCCCCCCCCCCCCCCTCATGAGAAACAGCTTCCTAAAACAAACCCTCTCCCACCCACCCACCCACCCATCTTTATTAGCCCCCCCACCCCACCCGCCCCCTCTCTCATAGAAAAACGTTGATGTTGTTGCAGTTGTTGATGTTGTGGTAGTGTGTTTGTTGATGTGGTTTGTGTGTTGTTTTATTTGCAGGCCCACAGCCCGCATGTACCCGCTTACCTCCTCCTCTCCGTTCAGCAGCAGCACCTACCCATCCTCACCACTCTCCCTCTCTACCGCAACCCTGCCCAGGTTAGTGACCAACCCCGCCAGGCCGCCCACACTCAGCCCCACACTCCATCCAGGTCCATTCGCAACTTACAGGTATACATGTATTACACATATGTTGCATCCTTACTCTCAAACATCACATTTCAGACGCATCAACACTCCTGCAATCAGAAAATAATTACACGTTGCTGTTCCCAAGCATTAGTGTACATTTCAATGGATTCATTGTTATACAGGCACCGCAGACTTCATGATAAATATTTACATCGATTTTAGCTGTATTTTCTAAAATTCAACAAGAATTCCGCCAAAAAAAAGCGTCATACAATTTATTCATTCACCCATTCAGACGCTACATTTATCAGCGAAAAGATCTGCAAGCTTACATTCAGAAATACATTCTGTTTATGCACAAAGAACACCTTTGCATTATTGCTTACCACAAGAAACAATTCATACCATTCATAGCCACAGACATGATTACATTAGCCTGTGAGATGTAGAGCTCCATCTCTAACCCCAATTAAATATTAATAGCGAGAAGAAAAAAACCGTAAGGCTTTTTACAAAAAGAAAGGAGAATATTACAAGACTCCATTACAGAACTTGCCAAATTGCCATCACACAGAACACCACACTGCACACCCCAGAGAATTGATACACTATTCACCCACAAGAATGGCCGCATTCACCCATTGTTCACGTTCATAATCACTTTTATTTCGTATATGTGTTTTCCGTTTGTGATAATGGTTTTGGAATCTTGACACTTTTGCAGTCGCATGTGTATGTGTGAATCTGTGTTATATACTTATGCATATACGTGCATACACACATACATGTGCACACATGCACACGCCCACGCACACGCGTGCACACATACACGTACACACACGCACACGCACGCACACACACGCACACACACTCACACACACACACGTTCACATACACTCGCATACACACACTCGCACACACACATTCGCACACACACATTCGCACACACACACAGACACACACACACAGACACACACACACACACACACACACACACACACACAGACACACACACACACAGACACA